ATATTCTCTGGCTCCTCTCATTCCCCATACTCCCTGGCTCCGCTCCCCTCACTCACCCATACTCTCTGGCTCCTCTCCCTTCACTTCATATACACTTTGGCTCCTCACTCACCCATACTCCCAGGCTGTCATTGACTAGGTAGCGGCCTAGCTCCAGCAGCAATTCCCCGGCGTCTTCCGGCAGCACTGTCTGGTCTTCTTGATCTTCCTCCTGGTCCAGCTCCCCGTTCAGGCTCCGATAGGCGCTCAGTAGGCTGAGGCCCAGCAGCAGGCCGCTCAGGCCAGTGTACGTCCGCAGGCTAGGCCATGGAAACCGCTCCAGAAAGAGCAGAGGCATCTCTGGGAAAGGCCGGGGGCCCTATCCGGGCTGACACGGTAACCGGAGGTTAAGGCAGGGTAGGATATGACACCGACAAGGCCCTCCAAGAGAGCCGGGCCGAGGACTGCGTGTTCTCCGTGGTCACAGCACTATCTCCGGTGTCTCCGCTGTTAGTGTTTACCAATCACACTGCGCCCTCTGCCGGTGACCACACTCACCTACACTGCGCTGCTGGAGGAGAGGTGCTTGAGGGGTGACAGCACGTCACGTGACTCAGCCTAACGTCTCCACTGTACAGCAGAGCTCACCAACCACCAACTGCATCACATGGACGCCTGCGTGTAATAAAAGGTGACGACTCATTTATTGTGTGTGGCTACCTTCTAGAGCAGTAATGGTCACCTGACTTGATATAGGGGGGCTCAAGTGACCCCTAACTTCACCAAAGGGCCACAAATTGTATTCAGTGAATGCAGTGCTACAGGAAGCTATCGGAGTCCGCAGATATTGTATATGGAGGTCAGAGATTAGAGGTGTGATACAAGAGATGGTAAGAAACTGCAGAGTACCATTGAGCCTTGTTTGCTCAAGCAAACACCCGCGGCAGCTCACGGCCCAACCAGTAGCGGCAGTTGTGGTGCCAGTTGGGGATGGGGTTCATTCCCCGTCCATTTGTGACATAAAGCTGCGTGGCAGGGAATGCACCTGCTGGAGCTGATTGGGTCAAGAGGGGGGTAGCGGTTACAGTGGTTAGAGGGCTTTGGCAAACTCAGATGTAGTGGGTTCACTCCAAGCCCAGACTACGGGTAGAGATGGCCAGACCAGGGCCGGTGATCGATCGAAAGTTCGAACTTATCGAGTTCTGGGACCGCATTACTTCCGGTTTCCTTAGAACTACGAGGTTTGCACACAAAACTTCTTCTGCACGAGCGCCATCCGCGGCATTGCTCTATACACATGCACCACAGCAATAAAGTAATACAATGAAGTGGGATGACAGTAATCAAGCACGTTATTTATCTCCGGTGCCCCACTCAAACGGCGGCCATATTGAGTGGGGCACCGGAGATAAATAACGTGCTTGATTACTGTCATCCCACTTCATTTTATAACTTTATTGCTTTGGTGTATGTGTATAGGGCAATGCCGCGGATGCCGCTCGTGCACAACAAATTTCTTGGCCAAAACTCGTACTTCTAAGGAAACCGGAAGTCATGCGGTCCCACAACTCGATAAGTTTGGACTACCGACAGAACACCGGCTTTAGGCGCCCTGTGTGAGAAAACTTTACAGCGCCCCTCAGTGGCCACACCCCCATAACCACACCCATTTTTCCCACTATCCGCACCATTTAAAGACTCCTATTTTGTTAAGCCGCAAAGAAACATATTAAAAAGCATAATAAAAATAAAACTTTTATTCAAAGGTATTAAACTTGTCGGCACAATATAAGTATTCTTATCAAATAAAACAACAGAAGGCAAACAATAAATGTCAAACTAAAATAGAGTCTATAAAAATAAAATGTCAGGTTGTCATGCCGATCCCTTTTTTCAAGTAAGTGCATCTAGAAAAGTAAAAATAGAATACAGAACACAAAACCCGGGCTACATGTAAATTAATGAATTACTATATGTCCGAATATACGAAAAATGTATTCCGGCACATAATAATTTGTTTGAGAATGTGTGGCGGCCATGTTGGCCAACGGCGTGTTCTGTGAATGCGTGCCACCATCTTGGAGGCAGGGAGCATGACGTTACATGACGCCATCCATGCGTGGCGTCAGGTGACGTCACACGCAGATATTGGCCCCACCATCTTGGTGTATACACCAAGATGGCGGCGCCCAACACGTGTGGTGTTATGTGAGGGGGGGCTGTTTTCACTTTTTTTAAATAGTTTTTTAAATTTTTTATTTGTTTTCATAATTTTTAATTTTTTTATTATTTATTTATTGTTGGGGGGGCTTCGGGAAATATTAGGGGTCCAAACAGACCCCTGACATTTCCCTTTTAAAATAGAAAAGAAATTGAGGACACCAAATCCTCAATTTCTTTTTCAGCAGCCTCAGCACTTAGTGAATGGGAAGTACTCAGTACAGAGGCTTCCCATTCATATTTACTATCAGCAGTTTCTGAATGGGGAAGAACCTCTGTACTGAGTGCTTCTCCCCATTGGTGAAATCTTGAATGAACAGGCTGTGATGTAAATCACATCCTGTTCATTCATAACTGGGGACACATAGCACTATGTGTCCCCAGTTATTTACAAACACTGGAGTGATCAGACGATC